CGAGGAGGCTTGATCTACGTGATCAGGTCGACTATTCTAAAAGTTAGTTACCAACTTCTGGTTTCGAAGTCCACGCCCTTTGAACTTCCTCTGTAGATCGAAGTAGTGCTGAATGGTTTCTCGAATGATCTTTCTCTTTCGAGACTCCGAGGAAGGTGAAAGCACCGAAACGTAGGTCGAATAAGAAATTGCTAAAATCTCGGTTTGCACAGCTTATGAAGTAAACCTCACAACTGGTAGAGTGCCAGCTTTGGTGTGGCTTGTTCTCCTTCTTTTAGAACTTTTTTTCGACCTTTTTTTAGCAGACACCAGAGCTACATTTCATGAGCATGATCTTTCGACATTAGCTGCTCTCACTAAATGTCAAGAAGAGTGTCAAATAAACCAGGAGGAACTGCCAAAAGCCAATTATCCTCGAATTTCTTTACATGTATGTTCAAATGGTATAGGTAGCATCAAGTACGATTATTCATGAGAATACCCATCATCTTTCTGAGATGACAGCCACTTTTGAGGTCCTACGTACATTCCCCAGTGCCCAAGCGAACATTTCCCTCACCCTCGGTTGTATGTGCAGCCGAAACAGGATATTTCACCTAAGCAACCACCAATACTTTCCCCTCACTTCTCCCCCGCCATGTCTACGACTCCGTTCATTTTTCTGGTGCTTAGAGCAACTACCCTACGAAAATTTGACTTGGTAAATAGCAGGTGAAAAAGGAGGAGGTGCAACGAGGATGCCGAGCCTGTTCGATCCAAGTGCCCGTTTCCCGGCCGCTTCAGATGACTCGTTCAGGAACCTCGAGTTTGTCGTTGAGGAACTTCCGAAGTAGAGGTTTTTATTACATGGAAGGATCGTCAACAATTTCATTTGTGCATAGGACAGAATGTACAGCAAAAAAAGAAATCTACTCACGTTTTTGTAGTACATTTGAATGAGCGGACAATTTTCCAAGGCGAACGACTTCGGGTTCCTGATGCCGTAGTCTTGTGTGGCCTTTTTTATGTCGGCGCAGATCTTGTTTAACTGTTCACTACTCAGCGTTGCCTGATTTGCCGATACCTAGGCATTCAAGCGTTGTTTATCAGTCGTTAGGTACTTGAAGACATGTCCAGAAATAAAGGATCCTCACTGGTGCGCCAATAGTTTGCAGAGGCATGGATGGTTGACTCGGTTGCAAGGCTCCTGGCGGTGAAGAATTCTAAAAGAAGCAGGTTGGCATACGTTGCTAGATATGTTTACATCAGTGCAGGCATTTCAGAGTATAGTTTTCACCTCAGGTGTTCCCCATAGCGAGCCCATTTTGATACTGATTTGGTTTCGTGGTATCGGAGTAGCAATCGGTGCGCTTGTCGATTTTGCTGCTGCATTGTGTTGCCTTAAATGTCCCAAATTTACCCATTACCAAACTGAAGAAAGATCAGTAAAAAACAAAGTGGAAGAAACGAAGGCGATATAAAGAGATTCATCCCGACTCTTTTGCGATTTGTATGTGTCCCGACCTCTGAGACCTTTTGGGATGATATACATGTATGTGATTCAAAAAAAAAATTTAGTAGCATAAGAGCAACTTTTGAACTAGACTTTATGAGCCGCTTACCTATACCATTCGTTGTAGTATTGTTCATAGTACGCTTTTAGATACTCGTCATCAATGGCGTGCCCGATGACCTGACTAGCACTCGCTTTCTGAATTATTATTCAATTTGTTGAATTCAAGCTGATTTATTAACACCTTCCTTACGGTATCTGGTTTCAAATGTGGATGGTCCTGAAGCGGCTTTGACCTGAATGAGAAA